CAAGGCAAATCTGTTTTGACAAGTCATTACTTACCAATGTTTGCCAATGGACAAAAACACACCTATGACCCACAAACCAGCTCCTACAAGGCAGATGTGAAGCAGTTCTACACTCCTTTCTTCCCCAAGGCAACATCAAAAGAACAGCCATTTGTCTGAAACTATTTTACACAATGTCTCTTCGAAAATGTCACCTCAGTGCTACAATGAGAAGAGATACTCAAGACTGCAAAATCATTTCAGTGGTTTATCTGTCCACAGCAGTGTGAGTCCTAGACTGAAAAGGAAAGCGTGCCACAAAGCAAGAAGGCCATTCATTTTCTGCTCCTCAGGTAAAGGGGAAGGCAAGCCCAATCTGGCAAGTAGACAGGATGCCCTAAATCATTTAAATTGAGAATTGGAAGGCTTGACCCTTCCCAGTTATCAATTCAAGTAAATGGAGTACAGCAGAGTTAACAGGCTCTACCCTACTAAGAACAGTCTAGCTTCTGATTTGTCTGAGAAGGTGAACTGGATTCATAGAGCCATTGCCAAGAGCCTTGGAGAATTACCTTTCTCTCACTTTAGCTTTCTCAATTTTCTTCAGGGAAACCTAACACCACTCACCTCTCTTGCCACCAATGGGCTCCCAGGCTGTGGTGTTCAGGGGGCAAAAGGCCACAGTCTTCTCCACCAGTACCAGCTTGTGTTTATGTGGGTCTGCTAATACTATCTGTGCCTTTCCCTCAGGACTCAGGGTATTTTAAGAAGCAGCGGGAGGCTTTGCCCCCATCCTCCAGCTGCCTGCTCTCCCTCATCACACCACAGACCAGGTGATTCCGACATTTGAAGATCGTTAGCAATTTTCAGCAGAGAAGGCACAAAGAAAAGGAATGAATATGAAGAGTGAGCATGTTTGAGACATGCCTAACCTGGCTGGAAGCCCAAGGAGATGAAAGTCCCTAGCAAATAAGGATATCTTGCCAGCACTAACATATCAGCATCTGTGTTTGTTTAAAAAATACAACAAGAGAGAGTGTGATTTTGTTTTCTCATACAACATTCGGAGCCAATTTGTGTCCCCAGATCTTCACATGAACCACTCTTGGGAGCCAATGAGTTGTGAGAGGGTATTAAGGGCAGAATTTCCTGACTAAATTGGAAATTCCAATGATAACTGACATCTAGTTTTTTATGGTTTTTTTTTTTTAAAGAGGCTAAAGTGTTATAAACTTAAAATGCTATGGGTGACCACATTGGTATTTATTCTGCATAGTATTCCAGAACACTGGAAATTAAAGTAGAGGAAGTCTACTTTAGATACTGCCTAGGGAAATACTCTCCAGAATCAAGGTTAAGTGCTTGCATTCATTAAACATTTATTGCATATCCACTATATGCAAGACACTGTATAGGGTACAAATATTACTAAGACACACAGTCCCTGCTCTCAAGGAACTTACAATCTAGCAGATCTGATCATTTACTTCAGGCCACATAGCCTATATCAGCAAGGAAAGGACTGAAAAGTATTGGATTATCAGTTCATACTTATCTTGGTCTAACAATAGAAGTTGCCAATTCACTCTAGTCAGTGCTGGGCTTGGGGACCTTTTTTTTGCTCCTCAACCAGATTTTTATCTACTTTTCTAATAGGACCCAGGAGAATATAGGGTCAAGCAATGGATCATCAAAGGCTTACAATCAAGGGAACACGTTACTTTAATATCTACCTCAACCCTTACTCTAAAGCATAAACACCATCTGGCAATTTTTATAATCAAAGCCATCAGGTTGTCTGGTGGGCCCAGTGGCCCAGCATTTGGAAAATTAAGCTAGTTTCTAAAGCAGCTAAAACCACCACAGATGCACAGCAAGGGATGGGGTGTGTGTGTGTGTGTGTGTGTGTGTACATACTCGCACACGCACACAAGCATTCACAGATGAAAATAATTTCTCCACTATTGTCAAAGAATCTACCTCATTTCCCCCAAATCTAAAACTTTAGCATTACCTTCATCAGGGGTCAGTGGAAAGAACACTAGCTTTGAAGTCAAAAGCCCTGGATTCAAATCCCATCTCAGACCCTTATTACTTACTAAACTCCCTGAACCTCAGTGTCCTCACATCTGAAAAATGAATGAATTGGACAAGATGGCCTCAGGGGTCCTTTCCAGTTTGACAGGTATGATCCCACACTCTCCATATCCAATCTATCATCAAGGTCTTTGATAATGACTTTCCTCTATTTTCTATGCCAAAACCATAGTCCAAAGGATCGTGCCCTCATCCTTGGACAAGTATAATTGCCTCTTAGTTAACAACAAGGTATACAATATCTTTCTATCCTACATACAAACTTTCAGAAGAATTTTTCACTAACACCATTTATTTGCTTTTCAAGAACCTATAATAGTCCCTTATTCTTTTAACTTTCACTTTGTCTTATCTCTGCCATTAATTTGGTATCTGTCACTTAATGAATCTGTCCCCTCATTTTCTTCATCTGTCAGATAAGGATAATAATAGCTTTCTTGCCTGTTTCATAGTGTTATCATGAGGATGAAATGAGCTAATTATGTGTGAAAGTGCTTTCAAAAAGTAACAACAATAATAGCTGACATTTGCATAATACTTTAAGGTTTGCAAAATGCTCCACATTAAACAATGAAATGCCATGTAATATGTTACTATCATAATTATCACTATTATTATGCTAGGAGGCTTCTCCTACAGTCTCCCTCCCCCTCCCCTGCCCCCACATTTCATTTTATGTATTCTACATAGAATTTTCAGAAGCAGTTGGTATAGTGGCTAGAAGACTGGCCTTGGAGTAAGGAAGACCTGAATTCAAGTCCTTCCTTCCAATATACTCAGTGCATGCTTGCAAACAACCCTTTAACTACAAGTTAACAAATCAGTTACCAAGTTGCATTGGTTGATCAATTCATAGGATCATAGTATCACACCTAGAGTTTCCAGACTCAGAATTCTCTATTCCAGTGAAATCACAGGTCTATACTACAAAAAAAAAAAAAAAAAAAGCATACTTACAGAATGACAATGTAGTAGCTACATACTATACCATGAGATAATCCATCAGCTACTGGAACAACGCAACAAGGTAGTTCTTGGTTAATTACCCTAATTTAAATTGTGGTCCCTAAAATCATGGAAATTTTTCCATAATGTTTTAATTTTCATGTATAGGGATAGCTAGAGAATTGAGTTTTTAGGTTTTTTGGGGGGAGGCACAGCTGATTCCTCTTTGATCTCAAATCCCTATGATATAAAACCTTTCAGATCTCTCCATTTTCAGAACTCAGGGCAGGGATGAATGAAGGAAAAAGTCCCCTTTTCAAAACTGCTTTATCTCCATGCTTACGGTACATGGTCAGATACTATTCATGGGCTGGAAAGGGTCTGCTGCTGAGTATATTTTCATTAATTGCTCAAGCAGTCTGGCTCTGTTTTTGTGTTGCATTCACATCCAATCTCCCCAAAGAAAGAAAGTAAAAATAGCACTTGTGAGAAGACACGCTCACTGCTCAAAGTAGGATGCCAAGTGATTACTCTTCCTCTGCCCCTGACCACAGTCAAATGCAGGACAAATCACGTAGTCTCTGTCTCAGATTTCTCAGTTCTTGAGAAGCACTGACTGTTATGTGAACAAAGCCCCTAGAAGCTGTCTCTTACAATCACATTGGAACAATTCCCATCACCACCACCACCCCCATCTTTCTACTCTCCCCCATTGTTTTCTGTTTTTGTGTCTCGATTATATTTTCAAACTGGCATCACCAGATGTCTTCCAAACATCTTTCCCTACATGTCCTATAAGTGTCTCAAACTCAATATGTCATCTGTCTTCTCACTCTAAATCATCCCTCCCTACAAACTTCTCTGCTTCTGTTCAGGGTGCCACCATTCTGTCAGCTACCCCAACTCACAACTTCTTTCCTTTCCCCCATATCTAATAAGCTGTCTACTCTTGTTGATTCTGCCTCCCTGACATCTTTTGCATCTATCCCCTTCTCTCCACTCACAAGGCCACCCCCACTATTTAGGCCCTCATTACTTCTTACCTGGATTACTGAAATAGGAAGTAAACAAGACAACCTACTATATGCCTGACACCATGCTAACTGCCTTACAAATATCTCATTTGATTCTCACAACAAAGTTCTATTATTATCCCCATACTGCCGCTGAGGAAGGTGCTATTATTATCTTCATTTTACAGGAGGAAGCTGAGGCAGACTGAGTTTAAGTGACTTGCCCAGGGACACACAGCTAGTAAATGTCTGAGGTCAGATATGAACTCAGGTCCTCCTGATTCCAGGCCCAGCACTCTATCCACTGTACTAGAGAGTATACTAGTAACAGACTGCCTCCAATAGACTCCTAATTCATTTCCCAGATTTCAGCATCATTCTTCTCCAACCCATCTTCCATACAGTTGTAAAATTCATCTTCCTTTAGGAAACGTCCAAACGCATCATGCTCCAGCTCAAATATCTTCAGCGGCTTTCTACTGCCTCGAAAATAAAAATGCAAACTCCTCAATGAGGCATTTAAATCCCTCCACAATCTGGCCTCTGCTCACTTTTCCAGACTTTTTTGCATTCCTTGCCTTCATACACCTCTCCATTCCAGTCAAACTGATTTCTTTTTTTTTTTTTTTGTTCCCCCAACTCTGCGTTGCATCTCCTCCCTCTGTCTTTGCTTGAGCCGTCCCACATGCCTTAAATGTATTTTCTTCTCATCTCCACTTCTTGGAATGCTCAGTTCAGATGTCTCCTCCTCTGTCCTGTTCTCCCTGGTTGTTAGTGCTCCCTGTCTCCTCAATTTTTTTTTTTTGCATGTAGTAACTATTTGTCCATGATGTTAAGAATCTTCAGGGTAAGGTCTGTTTGTCAGTTTTGTCTTTGTGTAACATCAGTGCTGGGCACAGTGCCTTACACGTAGGTAGGCTCTTAAATGCCGACCAAAATTGAACTCAAGTTTGCTGTTGTACTTACCCACTACGAGTCACCAGGCACTGCCGGAGCCCCAGCTTCCGAAAGATGTCTACCACCGTCTCCATGGGGGTGTGGTCGGTGACCGTGAAGGGGCTCAGGTTGAGAATGCGCCTCAGCTTCAAGGGATGGGGGCTATTTGCAGGTAGTCCAGGGGGCTCTTCAGTGAAATACATGATAGAATTGCTCACGATCCCATCCTGGCGTTGCCTGGCATTTTCTAGGCAATGAGAGCAGAGGGACAGTTAGGATAAACATCAAAAGGAAAAGAACCTACATGGTCTAAAATGATTATAGCAGCTCTCTTTGTGGTGGCAAAGAACTGGAAATTGCAGGGATGCCCATCAACTGGGGAATGACTGAACAAGTTGTGGTATATGATTGTGATTAGAATACTACTGTGCTATCAGAAACGATGAGCTCTACGATCTTAGAAAAACATGGATAGACTTGCACAAAATAATGACGAGTGAAATGAGCAGAACCAAGAGAACATTGTATACAGTAACAGCAATAATGTTTTAAGAAGGACTTTGAACAAATAACTCATTTTGACTATTATTACCCAAATTAACTATAAAGGATATATGAAGAAAGATGCTATCTGTATCTGGAAAAAGAATTGATAAATAGAAGTATGTATAGAATAATTTTACATATATATGCCTATTTGTGTCTAATAACAGTCATCCCTAGGGTGGGGGGTAAGGGGGAGAGAGGAAAGAAAAAGGGGAAAAAAATTTTAAAAAAGAAATTTACAGGATAACTTTATTACATATTTAAAAGGAATAGCAAGGAATAGCAATAACTTTATTATATATTTAAAAGGAATAGCAAGTTTATTATATACTTAAAAGGAATAGCAAGTTTATTATATATTTAAAAGGAATAGCAAGTATAATAGTTTCAATATAGTTTCATGTACAATTATCTTTTTTATCATACTATGTTACGGAAATACTTGTTTTATTCCATAAATTAAAAATAAAATAAATTTAAAAAAAAAACAGCCTCAAGTGGTACACAGCTACTCTGCCCCAGTCTAGCAACTATAACAGCCAGAATTATATATCAGGGGCTTATGTGTCAGTTCACTAACTAACATATAAAAATTCCTTTACTGCAAATACCAACCTCAAAATATCCTTGAGAACCCAACAAATAAATTGTACTGAGAGCAGAACATTATTACAGACAAATTTCTGTTTAAGGTGCCACAATTTTATTAATCACCCAGATTCACCACTGCAGAGGGGTCTTTGTCTCTTCCCTCTCCACCCGTATCCAATCCAATCAGCAGCCCACTCTTATCGACTGCTTCCATGACATCTCCTGCATCCATTCACTTCTCTCCCGTTACAAGGCCACCCCCACCATTTGGGCCCTCATTACCTCTTACCTAGACTACTGAACCAGCGAGATGGCATAGTGAATGGAGCTAGGAAGACTTGAGTTCAAATCCAGCCTCTGACACTTACTAGCTATGTGACTCTGGACAAGTTACTTAATCTCTGCCTCAGCTTCCTCAACTGTTAAATAGTTGTAATAATAGCGCCTACCTCACAGAGTTGTTATGGGCATTAAAGATAATATTTGTAAGGTGCTTAGCACAGTGCTTTGCACACAGTAGGTGCTTAATAAATGTGTTTCTTCCTTCCTACTTTCCCTCCTTCCACAATGGCCCAAATAAGACTATAATTCATAAAAATTTAAGAACATTTTAATAAATGCAGACAATTCTGAATTCTCATAATTTCCAAACTACATTTAATCAAAGGCTTTCAAAATACTGTACAGATCCCTAGTAGAAAAAATCAAAATACCATGGGAATGGGATGGAATACCTATCCCCAGCATCCTGTATGGTGCTTGAGCTGTTCCAGAAATGCTTTCAGTGCACCTAGAGAAGATGAAATTCTATCCCAATATTTTATCCAATTGCAAAAAAGCAATCTTTTATGCTCCCCTACCATAAATAATATGCCAAACATTAAATAGAAGAGAATAATAGTAGGACAGCAACTTGTCCCAGGACTGTTTCTACTTGAATTCCACTGAAAAGGTGAGGAAAAAAATCAGATTATTAGTAGTAAAAATAGTATTTTAAAGTTTCCAAAGTACTTTACATATATTATCTCATTTTAACTTCACAAAACTAGGAGGTAAGTGCAATTATTTTCCCCATTTTACAGAAGAGGAAACAGAGGCTGCCTTGCCCAACTAGTTAGTATCTGAGGCTGGGCTTAGACCTGGTTTTTCCTGACATCAAGTCCAGCACTCTAGCCTCTACACTTCTAGAAAATGTGCAACAAGATCAAACTGAACATTCTTAATACGGCAGGTTCCATGATACAAGTGCCACTACTGAGATTCAGAGCCCATGTCATTCTTTCAAAGGTTTGAAAGATGGGTTTGATAAAAGCTATTGCTCCTTTGTGTGGGGGAAGGTGAACCTGGTATTCCCAACAGGGACAGAAGACAGGTTCAAAAGTGCGCAATTACTGTTAATTTTTAAAATGACATTTGTTAGTTATAAATTAATTTATAATTTTCACAATCGGAATATGAACCCTTTGCAAGACGAGAAGGCTGAAACCAAATTTACCTCTGTATCCAGAATTTTAAGTCTAAACACAATTATCCCCAAAGGGAAAAGAGAAATGTCTCAGGAAAGATCATATTTTTCTTTCTTTTTCTTTGGATTTTTCATATTTTTTAAATGAGTCATTTTTTAGATCAAAAAAATAGTAAAGTTGTTATGATTACAATTACCCTACTTTTTTCTTTGCTGAGAACTTAGAGCTCATTAGAAACAACTTAATGCAATCCTGGATATCTGGGCTGAAAAAAAAAATTTTAAGTAAAAAAATGAAACAAACCTATTGACTTCAATAGCTAATGAATAGGAAAAGATTAGAAAAGATGTACGGTGAGGTTTGCCCCAAGAATGGTTGCAGATATGTTATAAATCTCTTCTCTTCTCACACACTATTATTCACCTATATTTCTGTTTGAAAGAATAAGACTACAATAGTGTCCTCTGTGGCCTTTCATTGCAATACACTACTCTAATAGAAAACTGGTAGCATTTGGGATCACACTGAGAGGGGGTGGAAGGAAGAAGCCCTAGTTAAAACAGAAACAGAAGGCTGGACTACAAAGCAAACACCTTCAGATGATGGGGCCCACTCTGGTAATATCAAAAAGGATAAGATTCAATCAGAAATACACTGACTGAGGTCCATCTTTTCAAAAGTCTGTGTTGAATTGAGTGGTTCTTTGCTGAATCAAGACTTTTCTCTTTTTAGTGATTTTACGAAAATGCTCAACATACTTCTATTTGTTCTTATCTTCAGGCTGATGATTCTTTACTATCACATTGCATGCTTCTAGCTATTCCAACAATAGCACTTTTAAATTTTACTACATATTCTAATCAGAGGTTTCAAACATCCAACAAATGCCAATATAGAATTTTGTACACTAATTTGTGGAATCACATATTGAATGCAAACATGGATGAAATTATAATAGTTTGTTGAGCTTCAAGAAAATCAATGGGCACATTTGAACTAGAACTAAATCAATATACAAAAAACTACTGAATAAGAACCTCAAAATATTCTCCAAAATGAACCTGGACTGAACTGGATTTGAAAACCTAATCTAACATTGAGTAAATCATACCTACCAAGATTTGGATAACCTAGTTCTCAATTTTCATGTTGAACAACATCCTAGAGGGGCTCAAAAAAGATTGCGGACTGCTCACTGCCAATAAGAAGTACAGACAATATGGACCTGAGACAGCACTGGTGATCATATGGTTTGATCATTCTGCTACACACATAGTGAGTATTGCTTTCCAGAAAGACTTTGATATGGATCCTTGAAGTAGAACAATAAAGGCTTATCCTGAGATTGCAAACTGTATCCACAGTTGTTGAAGGGGTCCCAAGGGTAGTTGAACTGGAGAACGGGAAAAGATGGCAGGTAAAAAAAAAAGCCAGAGAGAGCCCAAAGTTAGAAGCTTCCCAACTCATATGGCCCAACAACCATATTTCAAAAGCACGAGAAAGAGTCAACTTCTTAGAGTCAGTTAGTAAAAAATACATTTTGGTGAGTGCAGAATATGGTACTAAGTGCTATCAAGAGAGACAGAAGAGACAGCTTTCTGTTTCTGAGTTCTGTTTTAACTTGTGTGGAGAATTCTCCAACAAAGTCTTACTCTATGGCCTCATCAGGGAATGAAGACAATGCTGGGTTCTTGGAAGCTATGCTAGCAGAGAAAACTGGAATATTCTATCAAGCTGAAAAGGCAAGTACAGGACTGATGATGGATCGGAGAGAAGTATGTTTCTGTTACATAAGGACCAGTCTCACTAAGTTTGAGGAAATTCATCTCCAGGTTGACTATACAAAGTGAGGAGTTTTTCTAGTCATGGGAACTCTTAGAGACCATTTCCTGCTCATAAAGAGTTTGTGATGTGCATTAGTAGAGGAAGTCCCCATGCCAACCATACTACAGACCACTGACGTATGAAAGAGGATAGATTGCTACTCTCTAGAACTCAGCTTTGGGTCTAAAATCCTTGTCCGTCTCAGTTTTATCACAGCCTTTCTATGAAGAAAGAGGAACAGAGAGTAAATTTAGACTTTAGAGGTTCAGAGTTTATAGAAGAAAACATGCTGTGGGTTTTCCTCCTCAAAGCTTTGGCTAATAAACGCACAATGTACGCATCTTCCATGTGGAAAAACAAACAGCAACCTTGTCTCTTGTAAACACTGAAGTCATCTGTTTAGATGGATGGTGAAGATGCATTGGTTTGGATAAACAGTAAGACTCTTTATTAATATCTGGCCCACAAACGCTAAACAGGTGGCAAGAAACTGCAATGTATAGAGTTTACACACAGTGTACTGTACATCACAGACCCAGAGCATAAAAACCCCAAAATCATTATTGGATGACATTTAAAGGTATGCAGAATGAATAAAGTTGTATTATTAGTCATTCTTGTTTGTTACTTTAATTTTTTCCAGAGTGCTGGATTGGTCTCAGGCAGTTTATTTAAAAGGGTCCAGGAAGGATCCAAGAAGGAAGGAGTTGACATTGTGGCTTTGTCAGTTCTCCTCTTTATTCTCATTTTGTTTACTTCATCTGAAAAACAGATGTGCCCAGTAGAGAGAATAGGAGGCCTGGAAGCCAGAAGATCTGAA